ATGACTTGCCGCCATCACCAGATTGGTAAAAAGAATTATATGTCTCCACTCTTGACTTTGATTCAGGAAGCTCAAGTTCTTCCACGAATTCCTTAGTCATCTCGATAAAATCCTTCATATGAGCAGATTTCCATTTCTGAAAATGTGCAAGGGGAACGAAATTTAGAGACATCCTAAACCTTTTAAAGAACATATCATCGTCTAAGAAAATGAAAGTTTAAGAAAATCATACAGTCAATAACTCCATCTTTGGGCAAAGTGGAGGAAGTGCACACTGATTAAAATTATTCCTTAGAAATGCATACCAAGATAAGCATACATCAATTGGGATTCTGCAGAGCTCGCAGGGAAAATCCACGTATGAAATATATTGTACTGGTTAGACCATAAGCCTAGAAGAGAAATAGAAAGACTAAGATGACATCTTAGTGTTCTAGATGTTGGATGTTAAACCAAACAAGATGATTTTGGACCTCTTACATCAGGGCTAATGGTGTATGTTTTCTTAATATCAAACAAAGGTAAAGTTTTTAATTTCTAAAGCAGGTCAAGTCGTCAATTACCTTTCTACTCAGCTCCCAAGACCTTCAAACCCAAGGATCTTCACCAGTTCACCACACAAACAATTGTACCAAATGGCTAATTTTATTTGCATGTGTGCTCACAAGGTACAAGCACACACCATGCATAAGGTACAGGCACACACCACGCATAAGTTTCAGGCACACACCACGCATAAGGTTCAGGCACATGCCAGGTTGTACCTAGTAAAATGCACTCTCACCCCATCCATACACATAATAATCTGATATAATCCAAACAAAAAGATAGGCTATGTTGATCAGATTAGAAGCATGAGGCTCCAATTGAACTTTCTCTCTCTTTTCTTTTCATAACAATTATCCGTCCAGGTTATCTAAATTTCTCTCATCACTACGCAAGTACCCATGACATTGCACAAGGGCTCAATTTTTTAAGACAAAAGAAGAATGAACACATGAAGCGGTTCACCATCATAGATTTCAAAGATGACACATTTAATTGAATACACGTACTTTTTGCGAGCACCAACAATGAGACATTTGTAAGTTATCCTATATAGAGAGGCTTTAATAGTTACAGATTTAGAGAATAAATGGATAGGGTTAAATCTTAAAATGGTATGTCAGTTTTCTCAACCCTTAAGCACTTGCACATTGGCCACAAGTCAATACTATCAACTCTTTTTAATTACTCACATATTAGTCCACGCTAAGAATGTATATATATAGACTAGGCCTGTTGCGTTCATGGAATACAAAATTAAGACCAGTTTATCTTGCTATGCCAGTGCCACTATGGCAATAATTAATGCAACCAGTTGTAACATGGATTTTGCTACTATATGTTTCAAGACATATTCAGTAATTCACTTTCCAATGATTCCAATCATCCAATACAATTGGTGAATTGATTAAGGCAACCCAAACAAACATTGAAAAGTGTCCTGCTAAGCTGTAAACACCGTTATAGTGGTAGGATTAAGGTGCAGCCATTGTGGTTCGATGCTTATTATGGAAGGAGTAGGGAACTGATTTTGGGCCTGGATTCGTTTTCTGAGAGCGGAATGGTCAGGATTTTTCCCCTGCATGCCCCCCCACACCCCAACCTTTTCCATCAGGAACAAGAAAGAGTGCAAGGAACCCTTGCTAAAACAGCAAAGCAAGAATGGACTGCCTATTAGGCTCCAACTAAAGGAGCATAGGGTTCACGTAATACATCAAACATCTAAATCCTTAGGTTAGGCGAAAGCAATGATGTTAATAAATAACTACCAGCACAACAGCATGGTTCAATTTCATGTAATGATGGATGACACAATCCAAAATATACATAGTATACTTCTAAACTTGCTGCAGCAACGTATATGAGCAATAGAGCATGGATCTACACGATTTGCCAACAAGTTCATAGGATACTATAACCAGTGGATGTTTCAAGATCAAACTATTTGTAACCAACAGTCATATTACGGAAAGCAGCTCTCCAAGCCAGAGGATGAGGCATAAGTTGTTCTGTTTTAAACTTACAACACCCAATTGCATTTAAATAACTTATTTGCATATGCTTATACTGAAGCCAGGAAGACATCAAAGTAGAACAAAACAACTATCAACTTTGGTATGTTTTACCAAACCAAAGAACAAAATTGCAGACCAGATTGTACTAATATGCATCTGCATCTGCATCTGCATATGCGATAAGTGAAGTTAGTAAGATTGTGTTTCTTTGAAGTTGATCAAATTGCTTAAATCCCCGTAAGGGTCACTTTTTAAGAGTTCTACAAAATTATACGATGTATCAGGCAACACAATACCGATAAGCCATAAATCCCAGAGTCCTGAGCTTCACCCGCAAGAATTTATTTAACCAACAAAAACAGGTATACGGGTATAACAAAGCTTCCCCACCCACACACACATATATAAACATGCATACATCTACGCTGAAGGAAAGAAAAAATTGAAAAATGTAGAACTGTACCTCATGAATAACAAGAAAGGGTAAATTATAACTACGGAGTAATAGATAAATAAAATAACAGGCATGAAAAAAAGGGGGGAAGGATACCTCAAAATCCCAATCTCCGTACAGGTCTGGATCGTTTTTATTATCCCACACATATGCATATGTCTGAAACTTTTCCATGTTGTCCTACAAACAAACATTCATCTTATATTCTCTCATAAACTACGGAACAACAAAACATCCATTTTGTCACACATGTAAGATTGTCTATTTATACAAACATAACAACACAGCTATACAAATTCAGTATTTCAGATGACATTACAAGTTTTGAAACATTACGCATATGTCCTAGTTAACTGTTGAACAAACAAAATTAAACTAACTTTTACATATTAGCAATCAAAGCATCAAACTAATTTATCATTCAGAAATCGCTGCAGCTGATAACAAGAAGAAATTTGGGGGTTTAGGGTAGTTAACGATCAGAAGAAATGTGATCGGAATTTTCTCTTTAAAATGCTCATACAAAGTCTTTTTTATAACATCAAACTAATTTATCATTCAGAAAAGGATGATTGTCTAGATGGTGTATTAACAGAAACTAAATCCTGGTTTCCATCATACACCATCAAAAAAAATCTAGACGTACCATCATAAGCATTTCGAAACTCAAGATTCATATAAAAAGTAGAAGAATAAAGAATTTACCACAAGAGTGACTTCTACTGTATCTCTAACATACTCAATATCCTCAAATATATCAAGAACATCCAACTCAAGATTCGTGATGCCCTTCAAAACCTGTAGGGGCATCATTACCATGAATAAATATGAAATGCAAATTACACCCGAATATTGGCATATAGGATGGACACCCTGAAAAAAAAATTTAAAAAAATAACAAAACAAAAGCATACCCTGCCAAGCACTTTCTTGTTCTCAACGGGCAGAATTGCTGGATAAACTCAACCTTTGATACTAAACCGCTGGCTGCACAAAGGGTATGTCAACATTTACCAAAAAAAAAGCCCAGAAAAACAGGAAATCAATCAACAAAGTATAATAATCGACAAGATAATACATGAAATGACATTTCTTTTCATCCAATTTCAGTTAATCACAAATTAAACATATCCAATTCAGCAATCTTACATAATTGTAATAAATTAGGAGTCAATTTCCAATCTTTAATCACAAATCCATCAAGAGACATTCAAGTACAGGTCGTAAAAATAAGATTAAGCAAATACCCATCTCGCAAAATGAAAAAACAAGTAAACCCATATGATCAAATCATCAAAACATGCAATTAAACCATAAATAAGAATATAATTGAAAGAATAAAACATGCAATTAAGAATAATCAATAGAATAATTGAAGGGGGAGAGAAAAACTGACTAATCAGGGAGGGTAGCAGGAGTAGAGGAAGGGACACGATTGAGTAAGACTTGAACGACTTCATCAGCCAAAAGACTACCATAAACGAAAACGTTGTGATATCCTTGTGAAGTCCCACCTGCAGTCATGCTCATCGCCATTTTCTCCCTCAAATTGGGAGGTTCAGTTTTGAGCACAACAACGAGGAGGATGATGTAATGCGTATTTGTTGTTGTCAAATGCCAAATGCCAAATGTTGGGTGCTTCAAAGATTTTAGGATGACAGAAGTAAAGTGAACAAATTAAAATGATACGGATTTTTTTTTCTTAAATTGCAATTTTTTTTTTCCTTGTCGAAGCATCATTTTAATTGTTCACGATATGATAATTAATTTCCCGGATTGTTAATTTATAATACAAGGATATGATAATTAAGGAAATTCGAACACCTAACCTCTTGTAGGAAAGATGATTATTTAACCATCTGAACCAATTATCAACCATGTTAAAAATATGAAAACCTTTAGAATATTGACAAGAATAATCCGAACTTTGCATGATTCGCTTAAAATAATCCCAAGTTTGGATTATTTTTTAAAATCTGAACTTTAATATGGATTTTCTTTCAATAATCTCAACCAGTCATTTAAGTTGCTACAACAAGTTGTTTGACATGTGCCAGTGTATAATTGGCCAAAAAAAATAAAAATAAAATAAAATTAAAACATAATTACCAAAAAAAACCCACCACTCCTTTCCCCACCATCCCAACCACTTCCCAGCCCCAGCCCCGCCCAATTCTCCAACTCCGATCCCGCCCCCCGCTGCGCATAGACTCACCCCCTTTTCCTCGCCGGCGCTTCCCCTACCCCTTGCGTTGCCCCCTAAACCACCACCTTAACAAACAAATTAACAGTGATTGGGACCAGGTCTCTTCACGAAATTCACGAGATTCAATTCAAATTCACGACCAGCCACACGACTATTACGTTTAGCAACAGCTTCTTCACGAAACCACGACCTTTGGTCTTCTTCACGAATCCAGCAGCCGAATCGCCAGCAATGGCAGATTTGAGCTTGGGATGAGAAGCCCTATGAGAGCCGTCGATCGATGTCACCGGCGCCGCCATCTTCGTCCATGAGATCGTCTTCCTCTAGTTCGAAGTCGACCGCTTCAACGTGGGTGCCGCCATTGTTAAAGCTTCGAGTTGTTGCTGTTGTTGATGATGATTTTCTCTCTCCTAGCGCAAGGGTTTCTAAGGTGAGGGAGGGGCGGTTATGGTGGTTTAGGGGCGACGCAATGGAAGTTCTGAGCGGATGCCGGCGCAAGGGAGGTCTGGGCGCGGCCGGGGGTGGGGGTGGGGGCGGGGGCGGTGGTGGAGGGCTGGGCGTGTGGGGGCAGAGAGGGTGGCTGGTGGTGGTGTTTTTTTTTTTAATTATTTTTAAATAATTAGTTATATTTACTTAGTGAAGTGTTAATTATTAACTAATAATTTTTTTAAGTGTTGATTAGTATTTTTGACCAATCACGTGGTGACACGTGTAAGTTGAATTTTTTTTTTTTTTGTAAAAAATTACCAATTTAATAGATTATCGGTCACTTGTGACCATTGGAAAAAAATTCACATTAAAGTTCGGACTATTAAAATATAATCCAAAGTTGGGATTATTTTGAGCGAATGAGGCAAAGTTCGGATTATTCTTAAATACATATAATATTATAATCACAAGGTTTAATTAAACTAGCAACCGGGTGCAACGCCCAGACTACACACTAGTTGTATATGATATCAAGTTCACGCAAATATGTCTCTTTCAAGATTTTTAGACCTCATATATTGGGAGATAGTGAGTTTAGCGAGCTATTCAAACTTTGCTTGAGATTATCACGAGCCCAACAAAGCTAGGTTCTACTCCCTCCGTCTCTAATTTTTTGTCCCATTACCGAATTGTGGGTCAAACTTTGAAAACTTTAACCGTAAATTCTCGTTGTTTTTCAAAATGAAATATAGTCATTTGGGATTTTATTTGATCCGTCTCTTTGTAAATTTAATTAATATCAAATTTATATAATTTTTACGCGTAAGAAAATGAAGATATAAATGTTTTAATACGTGTCTTAAAGATCGTGCAAAGTCAAATAGGACAAAAATAAAGGGACAAAGGGAGTATTAGCCATGTTCCTTTTTGTTTATCATGATTTTACCATTCATCCATTCCTTTCTATTCCTATACATGGAGTTGATTTTTAATCTTATTTGCATATTCATTAGAAAATACACGTTAAAACACAATCAAACTCATTACAAATTAAAGTCAACTTAAAAAACTTTACAAGTACAATTACCCTCAAATTGACTATATTTCAATAAACTTGACAAAAGTCAGTCTTTATAAGACTTATTGAATTGAGAAATAACTCAAGTGTTAGAATCCCCTCCCAATTTCAAGAGATCTTGGAATAGATTCTCATTACCTTGTCCTTGTGGCTCTCTAAACACTCAAAAAAGACTTATTACACTCAAAAGGTGGTTCCAATTGACCTTGCTCTAGTTACATATCAAATAAATAAAATAAAATTGCTTTGGTTTCATAGCAATTAAAAATTAATAGTTTAAGAAATAGTACAAGCCAAAGCACAAAAAGAATATAGATCAATCTGTAAATCTGTATGCCTTCGTTGAGAGCACATACTATCAAATTTCTCTGAAATGTTACAAGTTTAACATCATCTGCAAAAAACCCATACTAGTTATGAAATTATAAAGATCAATTTGTATGCCTGAGTCTAGTCCTCATCTTCCAGTGAGTTTGACTACATTATCTTTTACTCCGGCCTCCTCCCATGGAAATTCTGTTGCGGCAAATTGTCGTTCCATGTTAGAACCTTTAGTGAATAATGATCGTGTAGTCGGTTATCACCGACATACCAGCTCACTGCTGGACCTCATTCTCAATGTATTCCATGTTAGGGTTTAACTACTTTGATTCTACACAACTAGAATCAAATAACAATGGTGGACAAACCCTAGAGTGTGTATAAAATTCAATTAAATACACAACACCAAATACTTAAAGTATTATCACAAACCAAGCACTAAATTAACAATATAAGTCAGAAATTACAACAAATTAACACTAATGTAAAAGGTTCTTTACTTGCCTCTCTCCAAGCCGATATCCACCTAGAACATGAGAAAAACAATGACCACGTGAGTCTTCTTTACTGGATACTTGACTAAGGCGTGTATACACTTTCCTAAAGTGATAATTTCCCCCACAACGGTGCTTGGGTTGAAACCGGAAACTCACTTTGAGATACAATAGTCAACACCACACTCTGAGCACAAAGATGTGTGATAAGATGAACAAATTCTCAATCAATAAACTTAATGATGGAGAAATTAAAGAAGAGTTTGCAAGATTCTTCAATAAAATTGTAGAGAGAAGAGAGAGTTTTTCAGAGAGGAAATATTATGTTCTGTATCCCTGAAAAACAAACAACGAAAAACGATATAAAGGAAATAACCGCAAAAAACCGAAGACGAGCGAGGAGGCGCGGGCGCGCCACCCCTGCGCGCGGGCGCTCCTCCTCGTTCTTCCAAAATTCCAACTTTTCCAGAAACGTGACGTGATTTTGTCGCGGTTCAGGCGCGGGTCGCGCCAAACCATGGCGCGGGCGCGCCTCCTAAACTTTACAGATTTTCCAGAAACTCAGCGCAATTTTGTCGCGCTTTTGGAGCGGTCCGCGCTTGTCTTACCGCGCTAACAAGTGGAGCGATCTCTCCACTACAACACTCTAAATAATCCAACATTCCATGGATAATACCTTAGGAGTACAATAACCTGCTTTAGTCCATGCCAGATTGCATGAAATATTAACAGTATATAATTACAAACTTAATCGTTTTCAGGGTGTCCACTGTCCAGTGTCGGTAGTAGATTGATTCATGATGATTCACCTTGAGATGTGAGATGATTACCTGTGAAAACATGTATTCATTATTTTGTATAAAAGCACAGTAAAATAGAAGTTTGCCCAAAAAAAAAAAATCGATGAATTTATCTAAAACATCTCCATTCTTTTTCTGATATAAAGTAGAAATTTAGTGTTCCAACGACTTGTGTTAAGGGTTAAAACTTAGTACCGCCTTGCCACTCCAAATACCCGACGGTTAGCAACTACCTTTCCCTAAGGTGTTAGTATGGGCCCAATTTAGTATGGGCCTTCGTACCAGAATAACTGACACAATTCCCATTTTCGTCCGTACTAGAATAAGTGACACATTACTAAATATAGCATGGGACCACTAATTAAAAACTATTTTCCTCTACTCTTCTATGGTCCACTGATTTTTGGGAAACAATTCCAGTCACATAAAAAAAATCAAAAGGAATATTTTTACATTAAACTAATGTATTAAATGGTCGCACTCAAAGTTTTCTTAAACAATGTGTCATCCCAACGTGCTGGATATTTTGGGACAGATATAGTACTAGGGTATTTTTTATTCGGCTGGCCGGCTTACTACCGCAAGGCGAATATACCTTCGTGAAGCTACCGAAAATGGTTGGCTAGGGTTGTTGTTTGGTTGTTATTTGAGATTTTTGTAAAGAAACCGCCATTATTACATTGAGAAAGCAGGAAGGAAGAAGGAAGAAGAAAGGAAGGAGGAAGGGGTGAGTCAACAACATTTGAGAAACATCTTATGTTTCTTTATTAAGAAGCTAAGGCTCGCTCTTTAATAACACAACTTTGGGCATTTTACTTCAAATTATCCTAACTTTAGATTAATCTGGAATAATCCTAAATTTGATTGCTTTATCCTCTAACAATCCCTTTTTTTTAAAAAAAAAAAGCATGTGTTACAAAGTAATTGGACCAAAAAAAAAAGGCCCCCTACCCACCCCCGAAACTCCCCCAACCCCCTCCCTTGACCACCGTGACCGGCTAGCCACCCTAAGCCCTTAAACCGGTCAACCTCCCGACCCCAACCCTTGAAACCTCCCCCCCCCCCCTTTCCCCTACCCTCAAAACCAGCACCCCTAGGCAATTTCGAGGTGGGGAAAGGAGGGGGTGGTTTTCAAGGTTAGGGGAAGGAAGGGGAAATGTTTTTTAGGGTAAGGAAAGGCATGCGAAGGGCAGTTTTCGGCATGGGGGAAGAGTGGTCAGTCGTTTCCGAGGTGGGGGAAAGAGAGGGAAGTTTTTCCTATTGGGCTAAGGCTTGGGTGGTCTGGTGGGAGAAGGGGAAGGGGTTGGGGTTTGCTAAATTTGTTTTTTAAAACTTTTTTTAGACCAATCACGGATTGACAGGTAACCTGGTAGAAGAACTATTAGCTAAAAATGCAATCCAAAGTTAAGATTATTTTAGAATAATCGAAAGTTGAGATTATCCATAATAAGATCTAATAAATTCAATAAGGTTTAATCAGGTCTAATAAGTTCAGATAAGATAAGTTTAGGTCCAATAAAATGAAGAGAACACACCCAAAGTTGGCATTATAAAAACCAATTTTTTCTAAAAGGATGATCATCAAATCTATCATTTTAACTTTTAACTCTATTTATTTCAAAGTTATTAAGATACAAAGTACGAAGAGCTAAGCGTTTTCATCAAAAAAAAAAAAAAAAAAAACATAATACATTGTTTGTGAAATTGTGATATATGGAGTATTTCGTATTACCCATATTTACTTAGATTTTTTTTTAAAAGATAAGATAAATGATCCTACTGATTCGACACTTCACAGACTAAGTCAGCTCAACTCCGCATGTCAATGCTTGAGAGTAAAGGGGGGAGGTAAGGGAATCCTCTTACTCCCAAACAAATATAGCTGGTGCAGCTCGTACTCATGACCTCAAAGTCATAAGGTGTCCCTATCAAATCCACTAAACTTTTCTTGGTATATCTACTTAGATATGATTTATGAAAAAAATATAGGGAAATTCTACATTATAACCCTCTGGTTTTGCGTTTTCTACGTTGTGCCCCATCTTTTTTAAAGTTACACATTGTAATCCTCAAGTATAATTAGTAACCATATGGTGACCTTGTCGTTATCTCGCCGTTAACAAATTCCGTTATGTTGTTTTAATCACCGTTAGTGGAGCCCATTCTCTACTAATTAATATATTTTTTAGGTAAAATTGTCAAAAATAATACAACCATTGGCCCATTCTTTTAATAATACAACCTTTTGAATATTTTTGAATAATACAACCTTTGGCCCATTCTTTTTTAATAATACAACCTTTTGAATATTTTTGAATAATACAACCTTTGACCCATTCTTTTTGAATAATACAACCTTTTAATATTTTTGAATAATACAACCTATAAGGGGTGTTAATTTTAAACAAGACAATATCGGATATCCGGTGGATTTCGAGGTTAGGAAAGGGGAGAGGATGAGTTTTGGGTGGTGGGGATGGGAAAGGGGGGAAGTATTCCTTCCCCTTCTCCCACCTCAAAACCCACCGAATATCCGATTTTGTCTTGTCTAAAATTAACACCCTTTAAAGGTTGTATTATTCAAACATAATCAAAAGATTGTATTATTAAAAAAGAATGGGCCAAAGGTTGTATTATTTTTGGCAACTTTTCCTAATTTTTATCGATTTACGTGATGGAAAATGTTTTTAAAGATTTTGGAGGCCATTTTGGCCTTTATGGGTCCAATTTAGATTTTACAACAAAATAATAACATAAATGCCTCGTTTTGCGTATTATAAAATGTCTCGATTTGCGTGTTATTTTTTATTGCTGCAAAAATTGTTCAAGTAAGGTTTAAGGCCATTTTAGTCTTCAGGAATCAAATTGATCTAGCTCAAAATCAACAAAAAATAATGTAATTTCTCGTTTTACGTGTTAATTGTATTATTTCTTAACACGCTAAATGAAACATTAGACATTACGTTTTTTTTTGTTTTGCTAATTTCGAACTTAATTTATAACTACTCCCTCCGTTTCATAATAATCCAAATACTTTGATCGGCACACAGACCAATACACAACTTTGAGCATTAATATCTGTAATTGTATATTTTTAAGAAATATAAAAAGTTACTATAATGAAAATATAAATAAAGACTAATCCAAAACTAATTTACATGGCAACATATGATTTTTAAATATTTTAAGTAAACAAAATTTAGTCAAAGTAAGTTTATAAATACTGCAAAAGTCAAAGTGTTGCGATTATTATGAAAACGGAGGGAGTATTGAACAAACCTACCTTACCTAAACAATTTCCACTACTAAAAATAATGACATGCAAATCTAGACATCCCTTAATACGCAAAACAGGCATTTACGTTATTTTTTTGTCTGAGCTTAATTTGGATCCTGAAGGTTTTAAATGACCTCCAAAACCTTTAACAGAACATTTTCCAACATACAAATTGACAAAAATATATTAATTAGTGTATATCAGTGGGCCCCACTAACGGCGATTAAAAATACATAATAGAATTTGTTAACAACGAGATTACGGCAATGTCACTGTATAGTTACTAATTATACATGAGGATTACAATGTTTAACTTTCAAAAGATGGAACGAAACTAGAGGGTTATAATTTAGAATTTCCCAAAATATATGGAAAATTGGTATTTTTAATCCTAACTTTGGACCATTTACTTTAACTAATCCCAATTATCGATTATTCTTGATTAATCCCAACTTTTAGGGGTATTGACTTTTCTCAAGCCTTATCGGTTACCAAACCTATTGTAGCAGCTCTATAAAAATTTAAAATTAAAAATCAATTTCTCAAAAAAAAAAAAAAAAAAAAGGAAAAATTCATGGCAATAATCCGACCTTTAGCCCATTCTTTTTTAATAATCCGACCTTTCGATTATTATTTAATAATCCGACCTTTGGGGATCTTTAATTTTTATTGGTCCCAACCGGTCATGTAACATGTTATAACAGGTTACATGACACGTGGCAGCCTGTGATTGGTAAAAAAAAAAATTAAAAAAAAATTAAACCAACCCCCCACCCCTGGCAGCAGCCACTCCCCTTCTCAGCCCCACCTACAAAACCACCTTCTCAGCCACTCCCCTTCCCTCTCCCCCTGCTCTTGCCCTACCATCACCAGCAGCACCGAACTACCCCCGCATCTCCCTCACTCACAACCCTGCTCCCTCACTGCCACCACAACAGCCACAATAAGCACCACCTCACGCCACCCAACAGCCACAAAACTGATTTTGTAGTGGTGTTAGGTGGGGGAATAGGGTTTATGGGGGCCGAAAAACATGGTAAGGGGTGGTTTCGGGGCTGCGGTAGTCGGGAAGGGTGGAATCTGATGTTCGTGAAGGTGGAGGTTGGGTGTAGTTCTCGCAGGTTAGGGTTCGTTTGGATGGGTGGGGCGACCGTTAAAGGAGGTCGAAGTAATAGGGGGTGGGTCGGCCGGCGGTGGGTGAGTTGGACGTCGGCCGGCCGATTTCTGGGAAAGAGGAGCTGGACGCTGGCATGGGTGGAGGCTAGATCGCTGAATTGGATGGGGTTTCGTGGGCAAGGCCGCATCGTGTGGGGTGGCTAAGGGTTTTGCGGGCAGGGGAAGGGTTGGGTTGGGTTCGTCGACCAGGAGTGGTGACTGGGTTGGGGTTTTTCTGGCAGGGGTGGGTCTAGCTAGGCCGGGTTCGCCAGGAAGGGTGGAGCTGCGTGAAGGGGAGGAGGAGAGGGAATGGTGGCAGGGGTGGTGGGCAAGGTGGTGGCAGGGGTGATGGTTTTTTTTTTTTTTTTTTTTAATTTTGGACAAATCAAATTGTGACACGTATAAATTAAACTTAAGAAAAAAAAAATTTTACCTTTTCAACCGGTTTCTGGTCAAATGGGACCAATAAAAATTAAAGACCACCAAAGGTCGGATTATTAAAAAAAAATGGGCTAAAGGTCGGATTATTGTCATGAATTTTACCAAAAAAATAACCAAATAATTTACTTCCCCTCCCCAACCCGGAATCCTCTACGGCCGGCAACAGCCACACCACCAGCCCACCGGAGAACTGCAGCCCTAACTAAAACCCCTCCCGCCCTTCCCCCACCCAAAAACTTCCTTCCCAGTCCCGAAACCCCTATTCCTCCCTTCCTTCGCCGCGTAAAACGCCCCCGTCTCCTTTCGATTTCCCTTCTTCGATTTGGCTGCTCCAATCACCTAGATCAGACCACTGTGACGCGGACAGCAGGCGGTAATGGTGACAGACTAGGCGAGAATTGTAGTATGCAGTGGGTTGAGAGTACGGCGAAAGCAGGAGCGGGGGTTGGTGGTTTGCGGACAAGGAACATGGATTGGGTGGGATGGAGTTCGTTGGATGGGGGTTCACGGGTTGGGTGAGATGGAGTTCGTTGGATGGGGGTTCAAGGGTTGGGTGGATCGCCGAGATAAGGGAGGGCCAACGATTGCGTTGCCGGCTGGGGGTTTGGCCGATTGCGTCACCGGTGGAAACGTTGCGGGCTGGGAGGGAGGGATTTTCCGGTAAGGGCTTGAGCTAGGAAGGGGAGGGGGAGGACTGGCTGATTTTAGATTATTTTTTTTTTAATTTTTTTTCGGGACCATTTGAAGCTTGACATGTGGCAATAAAAAAAAAAAAAAAAAAAAGAGTTTACCTTTTCTTCAATGACCGGTCATTTGGGCCTGATAAAAGTCAGTACCCCAAAAATTGAGATTATTAAAAAATAATCGATAATTAGGATTAATTAAAGTAAATGGCTCAAAATGGGGATTAATAATACCAATTTTTCCAAAATATATTTAGAAGATTTGATATCATATTATAGGGTTTATTCATATTCCACTTTTTCTAGTTTGTCGACCTTGCTTCGGGATGCGGAAAACAGGAACCTTATTCATGGGGTGAAGATTGGTAGACATGTTAAGCCAATCTCTCACCTTTTCTTTGTAAATGATAGTCACCTTTTTGTGAGAGCGAAAGAGGAGGAAGTAAAGAATATATTTGGGATACTGTCTACCTATGAGATTGCTTCGGGTCAGAAACTGAATATGGATAAATCAGAAGTATCATTCAGCTGAAACATTAAGCAAGAATGGAAAAACACGCTTAAGATGAAGTTATCTTTTAAGGTTGTCGAAGGACATGACAAATATCTAGGTTTACCAACTTACATTGGTGGATCCAAGAAACAGGTTTTTCAAAATATTTAGAATCGGATTTGGAAAAAGCTCAAGGGGTGGTTTGAAATTTTTTATCTCAAGCCGGAAAAGAAATTTTAATTAAGTCCATCGCTCAAGCAATTTCGACTTATACAATGCAATGTTTCTTGATTCCGGCAAGCATTTTGGATGTGATGGAAAGACTATGTCGGCAATTTTATTAGGGGCAAAAAAAAAGAGGAGAGAAAGATTTCTTGGGTCGCTTGGGAGAAGTTGTATGCTCCAAAGAGTCAAGGAGGCCTCTATTTTAGAAACATAAATTTTTTTAATAGGGCTCTTCTTGCTAAGCAGCCTTGGCGTTTTTTCGCTAATGAGGATTTCTTTATGGCATAGGTCCTCGAAGGAAAATATTTTCCTCATTCAACGTTTATGGAGGTGAAAGTCAGTCCAAATGCAAGTTATACTTGGAGGTCAATCCTTGGGGCTCGTGATGTTCTTATGAAGGGAGCTAGGAAAAATATTGGTGATGGGCCTCAACTCACATTTGGCGAGACCAATGCATACCAAATCTCCCAGGATTTAGCGTTGCATCGAGCCAAAATGTTGATGGTCAGGGTCCTGTTTATGTTCGGCAGCTCTGGGATAACAATAGTTGGGATATCAATGCCCTCGATGCAAATTTTTCTGAGGCAGAGGTTAGTGCGATTCATAATATTCCCATCCCCATGTTTGATAGTAGAGACTCTTGGATGTGGCACTTTACGAAAGATGGGCGATTTTCTGTGAGAAGTGCTTATAACTTGCTTACTGTAGAGCAGATGAGAGATACGCCTTCTTCGTCAAATGGGGATTTCTCTTTTGACTGGAAGCTAGTGTGGAATGTTGAGATACCTCAAAAGATTAAGTGTTTGCGTGGCGTGGAATTAAAGATGATGTGGATGCTCGAGGTAATCTTGCTCGAAGAGGGATGGATGTGGATTCTGTGTCCTATGTGTGGTGAAAAAAATGAAAGCACTCTCCATATGCTTGTTAAATGTGAGGACGCAAGGCTGATTTGGTACACTTCACCATTGCGATTGGAGGTAGTGAAGAGATACCCAGGGGAGAACTTCATAGAGTGTGTCTTTCGGTGAATAAGTCTTGCAAAGACTTAAATTGGTGGAGTTTGTTCTGGAGTGTAGCGTGGGGGATATGGCTGCGGCATAATGGTTGGACGTTTGAGGGAAAGAGGATGGTTGGGTCTGAGGTAATTCACAAAGCTATGAGCATAATAGGAGAATTCGAATTGGCGAAGGAGGTAAGCAATGCTAGTCCACCTGCTATGTTGCATGAAAATTACTGTAAGCCTCCGTCATATGGGGTGATTAAGATTAACTCTGATGCTGCTCTTTTCTCGCCACATGTGGGTTTAGAGGGGGTGATGCGTGACATGTTGGTGATGTAGTTGCATCTACATGTATGAGAATGGAGGGTTGTTTTGATGCGGATGTTGTGGAGGCAATGGCGATGAGACATGCCTTGAGAATTACAATGGAGTTGGGTTTCATGAATGTATGTTTGGAGACGGACTGTTTGAAGCTACACTCTCACTTGGTGAAAGAAACTATCACTCCTACTGCCTTTGGAAGGATAGTGAACGATATCCTCACGCTCTCTCGTTCGTGTCAAGCTTGTTCCTTCTTGTTTGTGAAACAAGATGGTAATCAGGTTGCTCATAGTTTAGCTAAATTATGTAATCAATTTTCTGATTTTAGAGTGGATGGAGGACTATCCGTGTGATGTAACAAAGTTTGTTATGGTTGACTTAAGCCACTTTGAAGCTTAATAAAATCCTTTTGCTTCCCGTTAAAAAAAAAAAAAATAAAAAAAAAAATAATAATAATAATAATAATAATAATAATAATAATAATAATAATAATAATAATAATAATTTATCTATTTTAATTAGGAAATTCTCTTTCTTCAAATAAAAATAAAAATTTTTTTTAAAAAAAGAAGATATTATCTTGTATAAATACAGGAAAGTAAGGGAATGAAAAGGAAGAGAAAAGAAACTATATTATCCAATGTTTGGCTTGTTATTAGTAAAGGAAGGAAAAGGAGAGGAATCTATTATATAGTATGCATAGCCTAACCCCATGCCTAGCCGACGAAATTATCATAATTTTTTAAAGAGGGAGAGACATCCATGCATATGAGAGCTTCCCATTTCCAAAACAAAGGGCCATACCCAAAAGCTAAGGCCGCCAAATAGGATGAATGTTTGCTTCCAAACCCTTTGAACAAATCTAAAGCTGTTAGGGCTGAATACTACAAACACTGTTGTTTTACGACTTCAGACTGTCAACCCATACATTTAGGCATTCGAAATTTCAAGTTTGCATGAATGTTTAAAGCTAGGTCTATTCGGTGGTCATGGGCTCGGGGCTTGCAGCAGTTCCCCATATATCCAACAAGGAATCTTGTGGCGCCAATTCTTCATGCCATAGTGGAAGTTGGTCACCTGGGTAGAAATTTCTGGTCACTCCCTCTTCATTGATCTGAAACAATACAATCAGAGTTCGAGTTCATTAGCATTGTGATGAGATTACATGGGACATTCTACTCAACCAGCAGAAAATGAATGCAAGAGAGGGGAAAATACGAAAGAGGTCATACAATGACAGTTCGAACGACGCCACCACTGGCACCATCTCGGGCAATGGCAAGGGAGACTGCTTTCTTCACTAGATCCTGAAAAGATTGAGAGAATCTATTAAGAAATAACAAAATAGTTGGTTCTTCATAGTACAGCATTTGCTAGCTACATCTCAGATTTAAAGGGGAAAGAAAAGGGGCAATCATTTATTATTATGCAATTGATCAGATTTTAACAAACTATTAAATAAGACCATTAATCGTCATAACAACCTTGTAGGTGTATTGTCCAAGGGGAGAAAGCAATTGGGATAGGGTCACATGCTTAACATGATTCACAAAAGTGGTCTTATGATGGTAAGACAGTCTTATACAAATGTTTCTTTCAGTTTTTAGACTATTAGGAATGAAAACATTGACAATTTCCAAGGAATAGATGAAGTGTGCACATATACAACCAAAGCAATGAGATGCAAAATGGAGTTGGAATGAAGAAAGCAAAGCAATCTTACTCTCTTAGCTTTCTTGTTTAAACTTACATTGACTTATTCCAGACACTCAACTAAGGGTCTGTTTGTTTCATCTTATTTATACTTGCATCGATTTCAGACAAAATAAGTTTATTTAAGTTCAACTAATATCATACTGGTACAAATTAAGTACTGATAAAATAAGTTGTGACAAAATCACAAAACTTTTTATCGCACAAAATAATTTCAGACAAGTCCAAATAAAATAACTTTAGACAAAATAAGCTGAAATAAACAGAGCCTAAATCATCATCTAATTATTATTTAAAGAACATCAGCACTACCAAGTATATCCAGATCAGTAAAAAGCCAAACTTTAACTTATTCATGATGGCAGATAGAGAGTTTCCCCAATGCAGGTAACACGATATGAATGTAGCATACAACAATTCAAAATACCTCAGCTTCCTCCTTGGTCATTCCATCTTTCCACGCTTGATCAAGAAATCCATACAGATACGAGGAGCCAGATCCTGCAAAAGGATGCTTTAGCAAGTTAAGCATATGCATGACTAAAGGGAAGCATAAAACTTATAAGAACATGGACATGTTTGACATGTTTTAAAACCTAAAGATCACTAGTTATAGAGCATAAGAAGCTATAACCAACAATAGAAAGTCGGAAGACTGAAACACTTCTGCCAGAAAACTAAGATGAACTTTCTCAAAACCTTCCTTGAGAAACTCGCCACTCAATTAAGGACGATAAACCAAAGTTATAGTAAGGATTAAACCTACATTAATCACATCATCATCCATCCCTTAGTAATTCAACTATACTAAAGCCATCCAAGCAAACACAATTTTAATATCCAAGACTTCCAACATATCAAGATGACACATCCTTCAGCATTAGCAACTTCTGCTAAATAGATCTATTACTGCTCCAGCATTCATGACGAAATAATTGAATCTTATACACAGAAATCATAATCTAATCGTAATCATCTTACCAGGATGGGGATGAGAGACCGATTCAAGTGACCAAAATTGGTGAATTTATAACATAATGATCATGGCCACAATTATATACCCACAATTACACACAAAATTTTTCAATGCAAAAAACAGTTCAAACATAAATTTAAAAGAAAATCATGAACATGAATCACTGGTTGCAGGCACCAGCTAATCTATCAATATGACAACTGATACCCCACCAAAAAGTAATAATTAAGTATGAAAATCTAAAAAAGTATAAGATCCATGTCAAGCATGGAAGAGTTGGCTCAAAAAGGACATACCTCCAATGGAAAAAGGCTGTTCAATGATTGTTCCACCAAGTGGAATTCCATATATTTTACCTCCTTCATATTTGTCCCATCCTCCAACAATCATGCCTGTTTGTAGCATGTCCTGTAGAATTTCACAAAACACTTATTTATCATGGAGCAACAGAGCAAGAGCAATCTAAATAGTTTTGATGCATGATAAGACAAATGATAAGTATTATGGACAGGAAACAAAAATGTCACAAGCAGATAAATGCATAGTAACCTCCATTGCTTGGGTTTAGATAGAAACAATCAGAAATGATATAAAAAGTTCTTTAGATGATCACCTACTTTGATAATAGCAAGTAATCTAAGTTAAAAAAAAAAGAGAGAAGAGGATGATATGAAAATATCCTACATAATTTCATAAATAAAATATGTTCATACATACTTTAGTAATGAAGATAAAGCAAAGAGCCTAGATACATAGTATGATAAACCTATTAGAGAAAAGTTTCCTTTTCAGTTATGCACTTTATCCTTTTTCTTTCGTAGGAATTTTCAGTTTTGAGATATTTACAAAAGAATAAAACTAGATAGAAAAGAAAATATTGTAACAAGGTGTACTTCCTGGTTATTGTAGCCAGCAGCTCAGATAAATACCTACTTTCATCCGATTTAAGAACCAGCAATCCAGCATTTGGTAATCTCTCCATGAATTTCTAATGTATACCGATATACAATTTTAGTTGGTTAACATTATAATTTTATACATCACCAGCTGAAAGTCCAAGTAATAGAAAAAAATAAATTCCCTCTAAACTCCCCAATCAAGATCTGCCTTAACACACTCACAAAAAGGGGAAAATAAAAATAAATAAATAAAAATAACCCACACACACACACGCACACACATTATTTATTAGGTGAAAGAGAAAAGGGGGGGAAACGAGAATGCATTCCAATATCATGCTCAAGGGGAGTCAAAAGTGTACAGTGTACAAAAGGTTATCAGTCTTGTCACTACATAGACAAGATTGGCCGAGAAGCTCGATTAGATGAGACAAATTAAATTCAAAAAATGTAGACTAAGGTTGAAATGACCAGTCAGAGTATACTCAAATACAAGGTATGACAATGTGAATAGAACACAAGCAAATCATACAAACTAAAAAATTAAACCAGACCTTATTTCCATATGATAATAGTCTGACAAGATTAGCAGCAACTTTGACAGTAGCAGGCTGTCCCAACTGTATCCTGTAATACAGAATTTTAAGAACAATAAGAAAGGAAAATATGGGTGGAAAGGACTTGCATTAAATATTAATATTATGTTAAATCTGTGACAGTGTGACACACCCTTAATTTCATTATTACTTATCCATAAAAAAAAAAAAAAATTAAATAAATAAATAAATAAAAAATAAAAAACAATTTCATTATTACTCTAATGGAAGTTCTAATCTACATGCAACAAGAGTTTTAATTAACTTTAATCCCCATCAAACAAAATGAGAAAAATTATATAGGAATTTAGGAAGATTAGAAGATATAACAGGAAAGTAACAGAAGCTCTTTATTGGCAGATTAATTGTTGCGTGAGTTGGAATTTGGTGAACTAAAGATACTACTCTCAAGGGCTTTAGGATACTGTAATTATTGTCCATGCTATTTCCTTTCGTATTCCAGTTGAGCTAACAGAGCCAAAACTAACAATATTTAAGCATTTGGATTATAATAAGGACAAGAAAAATGGCACTATAGATTATAGCTAAGGGTGCATACATCAGATCTCCAGCACCCCCACCCCACAAAAGTGGGAGCCTCACTTGAAAAACTAGGGATTATATTATTTGCACATTACAGAGAGTATCATATATGTGGCTCACTCTTCTGCAGTGCATAATTTGGCCTTCATGTTTATGTCCATGTGTCGAAAGACTCAAAGTCAAAACCACGTAATCATAAGGGGGTTTTCTTTAACTTTCCTCAATAAGATGAGGTTATTCAGCTCAACTCTGCAGTATCTGACCACTATCACTTATATGAAACCAGTCATCACAAATCAAAGCTACCCTAATGGGAAGTGCAGGAGAATGATTAACAGTAGAGCGCTGTAGGAATTTAATTTGATTCATAAAATAGATCCTTTCCTAAGCAGTAAAACTTTGTTTAAAAATTTTAGAGCATTGCTTGCAATGATTGACAACAGTTGGAGTCATGACAATTCTAAAATACAGATACTCAATTAGCAACGGGAAACAAGCAAGAGCCTTTGCACAAACATGATATATTTGCAGAAAATGATATCCCCCTTTACAGAAGTGTCGGGGGGGCCTTGGGCATTGGCAGAAAAGGGAAACTGAAAGGTCACTCATCAAAAGCAAGAGAGATAATAGCACTTTCACTATGACAATATTGAATGCGAATACTCAACTTCTAAAAGCATCCCGCAAGTATAGTGTATTAACACCATCCACAAAGCTTAAAAATTATACTATAATATGTTGGCTGATAGAAAAGGAAAGCCATTGATGAAGTTCAAAAATTCCTAATCACCAAGACCTCAATTAAACAATAGCATAAAAAGCTAAAAGTTGAATTAGTAGCCTTACGTGTGCTGATGAAGAAAATATCGTACATAATCAGATACAATCTGGGAGTCTGCAGCCTGCAAATTGCCCATACTTACATCAGTGAATTAAAACGTCAGCAGCATCAATGCATCTTCCAACTACACTCATTGCTCTAGGATACATAATAGTAATACTAGTCACTAGATACAATTCATACAAACCAAGAAATATCTAAGTTTGGAATTAAATACATATATTAGCATATAGTTAACGACATCCTCTTATTGTCTTTTCAAATTTTTATTTTTTTATAAATTATTACGGAATAGAGAAAATAACACAATTCAAGTTCTCAACACATCAGGAGTACAAAAGGTCCTATCAAATCCTTCTAGACATATAATTATCTTTATATTGTCCAAAAATAACACGTAGTAATCCAAAAATTACTTTCCTCAAACTGCATGCAGCATTAAAAAGTTCATTCAGCTATAACTGAATAACGAACACACTCTCCGTTAACAGTCTAAAGCCAAAACTATGAGACTATACAGGAGGAAAAAATTCTCTGGTATCGCTTCTCATCTATGACTGATTAAACAGTGAGTACTAAAACATTCTTATTCCTTGGCTCCGTCATAGTTTAATAAATTACCTTCTAAGCGGAAACAGAAAAGAGAACTACTGCAGTAGTGCAATGCTAAAGCAGAAAGATGACACCATATAAAATCTACACCATAAACTATTATAACAAATATTCACTCATTCCTTGAAGGGCTTAAAACTAAGCTTATATCTCCAAAACAGGTTTCAAACACATACTTTTGGAACCTCCACATTCCTTTTACTCACATGATATACAAAAATAAACTGTACTGGATATCCAAAACATGGAAGGAGAGGCCCCCACACCCTTACACCTTAATTTCCCCTATATTTTTAAACTAAACTGTATTGGATATCCAAAACTCATTTTGCAGCAGCACCAGCCATTTGCCAATATAAAAGCACCACCACTTCCCAAATGATATACTCCAAGAAATGACATCTCAGAAAATATTCACAGTAGCCCCAGGAACAGTACCTTTACCCTGCTGTCATTACCCACCCCAGTCTAAACAATATAAGAAAAATCGTGCATCTTGATTAAGACACAAAAGTCTTTCTAACAAGGAAATCACACCCTCCACCATGTTCCAGGCTCTTCCAGCAGCACATGATCAAACATTTTACATTACCAGAGGCAGTATCAGACAGCTAGCTAGCATAATAAAATAAACTGACTAAACATCCACAATGTTAATACTCAGCTTACTAATAGTCAACGATATTTCAAACTTCACAAGATGATTTTCGAGACCATAACTACGCTTGTGGTATGAAGAAGTGGAGGGAAAAAGAGTTAAAATCTCAAATTTGTCCTGATTCCCCTTTCTTCCAGCAATATAATATACAGGAAAATCACGCAGATTAAACAAACCGCTTCCATTTAAAAGTTAACGTACAATGTAATCTAAAATCATCCCACAAGTAAACAACACATCCAATATTCCTGTTACCATGTACAGAACCATAAACAGCATACCCAAGAGCTTATAAGTCTTAACAAAAACCGCATCGGATAAACGACAGTGCCATGAAACTTCCCCAATAAAAACAGTCAATTGACAAGCATTTATCCACTAGAACCCCAGAAATGTCCTCCGAATGTAAGCATTGCAAAGAGTAAACAACTCCAATATAGGAAAAAAGCATATGATATATTAAAAAAAAAAATATAAACAGACTAATATTATATACAAGAATCAAAATTTAAACAAAAACAAAAAGTTTAATTAAGATGGCATTACCGATCCAGAACGACAAACATAAACATTATCAGTAAGTTGAGTGATCTTGTCCGATGCACGATTCGCAACATAAACACCTGCAAAATGCATCAGAAAAAATTAAGCTCATAATTGATTTCGCTAAAACCCTAGAATCAATAATCCCAAATTTTGTTACAGCCTCAAATTCAAAATCAAATGAAACCCAATAAAATTGATGCAAAATGAAGATTTGGATAAGTGAGAAATCGTGAAAATAATCGCCGGAAACGTAGTAATTACCTGTGCTAGTACGAGAATCGGCGCCGAGAATAACACCGTCCTTGTAAGTGACGCCAATAATGGTGGTTCCCATGGAATGAGGGGCGTTGAGACCGAGATCCTCCATTGTTGATTAAGGTTGAAGAGGAGAGAGAAAGAGAGATTTTGCAGTGAAATTTGCGAATTGTGAAGGGTGAAAAGAGAAAGGAGGAGAGTATAAATGGAGATTGCAGAGAACACTGACTTATTGAGCAAGGCACAAACGTATGAAAAAGCAAATGAGACTACTTCCTGGATTTTTTTTTTTTTTTTTAAGCCTTTTATTTCCTGATTAGCACTAAATTAATTTTTAAATACGTTTAAATAAGTGTTACATATCGCGTCCGGTATTTACCAGGTAACGCCCGTATTTTAACATGACATTACAAACATGCCCTCTTTATAATTTTATCCTAATTTACTCTTACCCTAATTTACTGTTATACCTTATAAATTTACCCTATTTGATTTTTACCCCACTAGCCACCGAATAGTCACCGCCGCCAGACAACCACCAGCCACCATTATTCATCATAAAAAAAAATAAAAAAAAATAAAAAAAAAAAACTTTATTCAAAAACTATTTACTTAGCGGTGAATGGACGAGTTTGCAGAATTGTCGACGCCACCGGAGTCGCCTGTGACTGTGAGTACGATGAATTTTTGTCGTTTTTTTATTTATTTCGTAACTGCCAGAGAAACGCCTGAGAATTTAGAATCTACCCCGGTAGGAACGCCTGAAAATTTAGAATGTCCGAGGAAGATTCAAAAACATCAGGCGTTCCTCACATTGTATTTTCAAATGGAACGCCTGAAATTTTGGAATCTACCAAGGACATTCTAAATTTTCAGGCGAACCATAGTAGGAACGCCTGAAATTTTAGTATGTCCTTGGTAGATTCTAAATTTTCAGGCGTTTCATCCATGGTACATTCAAAAATATCAGGTGTTTCTCACAATTGTAAATTTAAATGTTCATGGAAGAAACGCTTGAAATTTTAGAGTGTCCCATGGTAGATTCTAAATTTTCAGGCATTTCTTCCATGGTACATTCAATCATTTCAAGCATTTGTACTTATTATTATCGTATTTTTGTCGTTTATTATTATTATTATTATTATTATTATTATTATTATATGGGTTCTTAAGTAGTTTGTTTGTGGTTTTTATATAGGATTCAGAATCAGAAACGGTGGTGATGGTGTGAATTATAGTGGCCATTTTCAAATCGACACAGTGTTTCCCAGTTATGATGCTGCTGTTGAATGGGCGAAAGAAATTGCCCGGCCAATTGGATTTATATTTGTCTCAGCATCGTACAAAAAAACCACCGATAGTCAGCCGTATCGATATTTGGCTTGCGATCGTGGTCGGAAGAAAAGGCCAAGAGATTTGGAGAATGTGATTCGCAAGGACACTAAAACCAAGTCCGTTGGGTGTCCTTTCTACATCAAGATATATTACGAGAGAAGCACTGATGGTTGGAGGATCTGTGCTAAAAATGATGTAACCGGCACCCACAATCATCCATTCATTGTGTATCCTGAAGGTCATCGACAAATCAGTGGTCTTAGTCCAGGTGCGAAACAGGTTGTGCGTAACTTGATGAGGTCAAAGGTTGCCCCTCGTAATATCATGGTAACCATTATAGAGCAATTTCCTAAAGATCATCCAAACATCAGGCATATATACAATTGTAGAAGTGACATCAGAATGGAGGATTCCAAAGGAAGAGGAGTGGTTCAACAATTACTGCATTTGACTAGAGAGAGTCACTACCTTTACTGGGTTATGGCTGATGACATCGGTGTTTTACAGCATGCATTCATGGTGCATCCGATCACGTGCAACTTGTTACGCACATATCCGTACGTGATTGTTATGGACTCCACATACAAGACAAACAGATACGGCATGCCATTCTTTGAGATAGTTGGGGTTACACCGACCAATCAGAATTTCCTTGTTGGATATGTGTTCATGAGAAACGAGACACAAGCTAGTTATCGATGGGTGCTTCAGAGATTTAGGAATTTGATCGGATACCAACAGAAGCCATCAGTGTTCTTAACTGACCGTGAGCTTGGACTTTGTACAGCATTGAAAGCCGAGTTTCCTCACACTACGCATTTACTTTGTAGGTGGCACATTAATAAAGATGTCGAAGCTTATGTGACTGGATTGTTCAAGGACAAGACAGTGGGTGCAAAGTTCAAAAATGGTAGATGGAAACGAGTCATGGATGCAGCATCTGAGCCGGAATATGAGTTAGCCTTGCAGAGATTGAAAACAAGTTGGGGTCGGTATCCAAAAGTTGTGGATTACGTTGAGACTACTTGGCTTCCCCATAGAGAGAAATTTGTGACGTGTTGGACGAACAAAGTTATGCACTATGGTAACGTTTCTACATGTAGGGTTGAGAGTCAGCACTCGGCGGTCAAGAGTTGGATGGAATCATCGACTGGTTCTTTGGATATGGTATGGGCTCGAGTGCATTGCCAGATTGGAAATCAGATCGTTGGAATACATAACGCTTTGGAGGCTAGTAGATCTAAAGTGGGTGAGAAGTACAGGCACATGCCGTTGCAGCGGCTTAATGGAAAAGTTTCTCATCATTGCCTGTCTTTTCTTTACGATGAGACGCAAAGAATGACAGAGTTGAGTTACGAGGTGCATGAGCGTTGCGGTTGTGCTCTACGGATCACCCATGGGATACCATATGCTTGCCAGATTTATGATTCAATGCATGATAAGGAGGGGTTGTATTGCAGTCAAATTCATCCATTTTGGCAGAGCCTTGTCATTGGTGATGGTGTTGATATACCGGAGTTCGTCGATGAGTCAGCTGAAGAAGCAATACATTTTCGCTCCCTTGTCGATGAGGTTTTGGCTAGTGACCCTGTTACGATTCAGAATGTTTCTCGCATCATTGAAGATGAGCTGCATCCGAATCATTCAGATCTTGAGGAGCTGGAAGTGAATCACTCAACACGAGGTCGACCACAGGATCGTTCTACTAGGCGTGATCGTAGCCATTTCGAGAATGTTGAGCGTAACACAAGCGGTCGTGGAGGGAGAAGGTCGAGACAACATAATTCAAGGCAAAACCGTCAAACTGAATCCGGTATGAATTATTTTTTTGTAATAATTTTTTTTATAACATACAATCTATTAATTGATGATTTATTTTCTACCTATTACGAATGTGTATTTTTAGGAGGAAATGGATTCAACATCGAACAATGTAGGTACGCTCACTTGCTCCCCGGACCTATATTGCCTTACATAACCGGATGGAATGATGTCATTGGTGATGGTAATTGCGGCTTTCGTTGTGTTGTCTCCTTCTTCATGGGTGATCAAGAGCAATGGAGATTAGCTCGACAAATCATGGCTAATGAGATCATCGGTTATCCACACTTATACAGGAGGATTTATTATGAGCCAGGTGGTTTGGATTTTGAGATACAGCGTATTCGTTGGAGCGGTGGCCCATGTGGGGAAAGACATTGGATGGTAGCCTTTCAGGATTTGTATGTAATTGCTACCTTGTACAATGTAACTGTGATTTGTTATGGCATTGGGTTGACACCGACGAGCTACTATCCTTGCATCACTGTGTTACCATTGCGGGCCCCCGACAATGCTACTGCACCAGCTCGAGAGTTTGTTATAGGTACTGTGGGTGGGTCACATTTTATTCTATTACAGCTTGATCAAGACCATCCGATTCCCCCGATTGCAGATGTTTGGTACCGGGCTCGTGAACCTAGCGTTATTGGATGGGAGCAACGATACCAGCTTAGAATTGGTTTGTGGGAAAGATTAGTTGCGTCATGATAGATGTAATGCGTTGTTCAAAACATAAATAATGATGTTTGAACTTTGTTTTTTATTTTTCCCATTATTATTATTATTATTTTTATTATTTTTATTATTATTATTATTATTATTATTATTATTATTATTTTATTATTATTTTTATTATTATTAGAAAAAATGCCATAAAAAACACAAGTAACAATTGCAATAATTACCCAGAACGAAAGGAACAGGACAAAAGCAAGCTACCAAAAGGAAGGAGCAAAGTAAATATGTAGCAACAATCCAAAAAACAAAGGTAACAACTACAATTATCACTAGCCAAAAACAGCATGCACCAGCAACAAAGACCAGCAGCAGATCAGGGAGCAAAAGAACAAGCAAGCCACAGCAGCAGCAGCCAACAGCAAAAGCAAGCATCAGAACGACGCAGAAACAAAACATCACCAATAAGTGAAATGTGCAACATGTTGCCATGGCTGCCTGGTTCTAAAGAGGCACTGGATAGTGCTTCCTCAGAATTATGAGTTGTTTCTTTCAGTGCAGCAGTAATCACCGATGGCAGAAACTGCAAAGATTTAATAACAACCACAGCAGCATAAATCATTATATAAGCGGAACTAACTTGAGAGCTCATCTCTGTATATTAGAAAATACATATATGTGGGCCTGCGGCATAATGAGACAAGTTTATTTTTATTTTTAACACCCTGAAAATCATAAAATATGGGATATATGATGAACAAGTCTAGAGCAGAATCTACGAAAAGTAAGTATAACAAATCAACAAACCATTAATCTAAGTACAAGCTCTATCATTTTCTCATGCAAAAATAAATCAATTGTTTCTTCATCGAATGGCAACACAACTGATAGTGACAGAAACCAGGAAACAGGTTTGAAACTAAATTAGCACAAAATAGATTAATGATCATTAGCAAATTCACAGTGTGGCACCAAACCCAAGCACTCAATCCTTAGTAAAAAAAATTAGTATACATGCACTACCAGATCATACTACTTACGTGAGTAACTCTCAGGGTGATAATTTACAAAAGGGAATCAAAGGTAGGCGCTAACCTCTAGAACGCCTTTCAGTAACTTAGCAAGAAATTCAACATTATGAGAATTGGTGATGCCTTTCAGTAACACCAACCAGCAACCCTCAGCAAGACAGACAGCAACCCAGCCTGACCCAGCACCAAACAGCAGCCTGAACCAGAGTAAACCAGCCTGCACACCAAGCTACAGCTACACATATTATCACAGCCCCAGCAACAGCAACAACATGCCATAACAACATACTCATAAATCCACGCTTGAAGAAGCGTGAGACAACCAGAGATGGAATCACAATCTGCCCGCGAGGCTTGCCCCAACTGACGATACAAAAAAGCTAAAGTGGCAGAGCCCCATGAGTAGGAACTAGTGACAAATGTAGGCTGAAGCTCATGGATGAGGGAAGGATGAAGTCTGTTACCACTCTTGTCCACAAAGAGTGATGAACCCAGTAAAATCCACATAAATGCCACCACGGAAATCTTAGGGGGCCTCTCAACATTGAAGGTCGTCTGGAGGACCCTCGAAGAAAGCGCGCCACTAGGCGTGTAAGTGGGTTTACGTAACTCCTTAACAGGCAAATCCATCATGAACGAGCAATACTGTCGTAACTGTAGGGGGTCCATAACAGTTGAAACCATAGTACCATCTACAGAGATCCCAAGGATATGATACACTGTCATGTAACATGATCGTCATCTCACCGAACGACAAATGAAAACTGTTAGTATCTTGGCTGCCATCTCTCCACGAACGCTGAAATCAAAGGCCAGTCAAGGTGCTGATACATAATGCCAGGAAGATGTGATAGCCCGCTCTGATCTATCGGGGCTAATGTCTCTGGTAATAACGACTGTCGCAACTGATCCAATGCAGTGCACATCTTTCTCCTACTCATACATCTCAAAACACCTCGCTCCACACCACCCCAAATCGCAGCTGCGACATGACCACCATAGCTAGGAATGACGCTTACATCTTCTGGACCGCCGGCCATCGGCGTAGTCACTAACCAGCTGTCCTGTACCGGAGTCCGACTACGACCAGTCTCTTGAGTACCAACAAATCTCCCACCGGCACCCCTATACGTATGAACAATTTCATCAGACTCCTCCTCGTCATCATCGTCATCGCCTGATAAACCCTGACCTCCTCTGTACGAGTACTCGGGGCCCGGTGACTCGGTCTCCTCATGCTCAGACTCGAAACCCGACCTAACCTCCTGAGACCTCGAATGATGATCCTGTGCCTCGGAGGTCGAACTCGCCATGCAACCATGGGGGACTGGTGTCGTCTCGGTGCAAGGCTGAAGACGATAACGGTCTCTCTCCCTCCTAACCGACGCGTTTAAGCGCCGTGATAAAGCGTGTCGTGTTCCCGAACCCTCAATCTTAATTTTTTTTTCAAAATAAAATAGAAATAAGCCAAACTTTAGTTCAAAATAATAATAATAATAATAATAATAATAATAATAATAATAATAATAATAATAGTAATAATAAGGAAAAATTCATGGGAATAATCCCACCTTTGCGCCGTTCGTTTTTAATAATCCCACCTTTGGATTATTTTTTAATAATCCGACCTTTACCCCCAATTCTTTTTTAATGGTCCCATTTGACCAGAAACCGGTTAAACCGGTCAATTTTTTTTTTTTTTTGGTTTTAAATACACGTGTCACTATGCAATTTGTCTAAAATTTTAAATTAAAAAACAAAATTTGCAATTTGTTATAACAGGTTACATGACCGGTTGGGACCATTAAAAAAGAATTGGGGGTAAAGGTCGGATTATTACAAAATAATCCAAAGGTGGGATTATTAAAAACGAACGACGCAAAGGTGGGATTATTCCCATGAATTTTTCCTAATAATAATAATAATAGTAATAATAATAATAATAATAATAACAATAATAATAATAATAAAAAATAAAAAAAAAAACAAGTTAAAGTGAGGTTCTCAGTAGTGAGTTGTACATACAAAGGTTTTGCAATCAACTTGGTACACCTCCAAACTAACTGTAGCATTTTAGTCTCTGATTATTTGATTGTTAGAACAATAGAACCCTATCAAAAACACAATTAATTAAAGTATTCGGGACTAGACTTCAAAACTTCGAATTATACTCTTGGTGAGTCTACAACATGTGATCTTTAAGCCATCACTAACCAATATACAGTAATGTAATGAGATGAATTGGTTTCAATAGCCAAATGTCAAACCCACTATCCTAATTTGACATGGAGCACGGGACATGTTTTCTGATAAAAACTCAGGTGATGCAGACAAATAAATAAACATGAAATGCTACCCCAGAAACTGAAAGTGGTAACCACCTGAAGTAACATCAAGCAAAATCTATTGTTTATATCACACATTGTAAGCAGCATACTATTAGAGAGTTATACATCCTAAGCCTGCTAAAAAGCTAACACATTTTTCTCATCTAAAAACATAATCTCAGAGGGCTAACATCAGTGCTTGGGGGCTCCTCAAGGTCATATAGATTTCGCCACTCAGAATTATCTGCCCCACCTCCAGCATCCTTCATAGCCAATACATGATGAAGAATTAGAAGGTATAACATAATAACTAGCATAGAGAAACAAAGTAACAAACCCAAGTGTTTAGTATCTTTTTCTAACTCGAAAGAAATAACTAGACGACACACAAATATGAGCTGAGATTTACAGAGTAGTAGTAGTTGATAAGCAACAAATGATACAGTTAACAATTCACACGGAACATCAGAAAAGCTAAATGACAGAATTCAAGAGAATTTCTTTGAACAAATCTTGAAGGAGGTAACAGCAAATCTATAGTCAGCAATGCCCCTTTTATGATTTCAATACAATCCAAGTCTATTACTCTTGATGTTTTAGACAAAGAACTCTAACAACAACAAGTAATGGAATCAAGGATGGCAAAGTCAGGGCCATGGCTCCAGCCATGATTCTCATCATACATTAGAGGTGTAAGGCAACATAAAAAACTACCGGGTTGATTTAGTTGCTGTATAACTTAGTAATTTAGTATGCATCATATCACATGTTCACAGATCACTTGCATTTGTTTGCTTTTTCACCCATGGGCTGTGGGATTTCTTCTCCTGGATTCGTATACATGTAATTTGTCTTAGTTAGGTTCTGTTGACGTACACACTTGTGATTCCCTTGTCTACTGTAGTCTTGTTTTCAGATTTCTTTTTATTTTACTTTATTTGGTAAAGAATTTTTCAAATGTTCCTCCACTACAGCCCTACAACTCTACAAGAGTGTTTGGTTTAACCATTTAAGTGGAGAGAAATTACAAAAATAAGAAAGGTTACAAGTAAAAAAAATTAACTTGTAACCTTTCTTATTTGATTAAAGCAGGGGAAGTCCAAGGGAGTTAAACTTTTGCCTGTATTCGCCTATTTGGCAAGTGAACATAACCAACCTAATATAAACCCCATTCTCTTGCTCTTGAATCTCCACCACCACAACCATCTTCAATATTCTCCTTAACTCATATAACAAAGGAGGATTACTACTAAATTCACAATTTTGAAATCAAATTACCCATACAGCAGAACATCACAGCAAAAAAATAAACATTACAACTAAATACACACCTCTACATCAGCACAAACGATCAACCAACCATACACAGCTAATTTTGCAAAATATTAGTAGCATATGCAAATTTTTGTTTCAGTTACATTTTCAGAGTATATCATAGAAATACATTATAAACATTACAATAATAATTCAGGAAAAAAACAAAAAAAGCACATCAGTGCTACAATAATAATTCAGGAAAAAACACACAAAAATCTACGATATGAATGTTATGAACGCCTGGAATTTTCAAATGAACCCCCGTGGACCCGAAATTTCCGAGCGTTCATTCGTGGTTCGCATAGGAATTTCGGATGAACCCCCGGAGATATGACCAGCTCAAAATCGCCGGAAAATAAAAAAAAAATATCGACTCACCTGCTCGCCGGTGCCGACTGCCTTGTCTTTGCGATTTCTAGACATCTGCGCCTCCCTTGTAGCGTTGACGCCAAGATTAAAAAAAAAAAAAATGGTGGAATTTGGGGGTAACCGGTGGTGGTGGTGGTTGGTTAACTGGTTTTGGTGGTTGAATTTGGGTGAAAGAGAAAGGTGGGTGAAAAGGGTAAGGATAGAGAAAGGTTAAAGTAAAAAAAAAAGTTTTGATGGGTTATTTAAGGGAGCGGTATATTAGTATGTTTAATTTAAAATACGAGTGTTACCCGGTAAATACCGGACGTGAATTAGTAACCTCTTATATATCCTATCAAAAAAATAAGTGTTATATATGCCATTTAATTGATTTAAATAAAATAAAAGGTTAGTGGGATAGTTGGAGCATTAAAAATTATAAAAGAAAGACAATGGGATTAATAATTTATTAAAAAAGTAATGAAGGTAAGAAGAAAGAAATAATAATTTAAAAAAAAAAGTAGGAGTAATAGTGGGGTTTGGGTAGGGACCATAAAGGGGGAAATGTACAATACTTTCTTCGTTTTTAAATTCTTGCTCCATTTCTCCATGCGCGGAGTTTTAGGAGAAATTGGAGAAAAGAATAAAATACAGAGGTAATGGAGTTTGTTGAAAAATAAAAAATTGTAAAAAGTAAAAGTAGTTGAGAGAATGGAAGGAGAGAGAATATGATATCAATAAAATATGATTTATGTTGGTCCACTAGTTGAGAGAAATGAATTAAAATATTATAAAAGCTTTTCAAATAAGGAAATGGAGCAAGTATTTAAAAACGGCCGAAAATGAAAAAAGGAACAAGTATATAAAAACGGAGGGAGTATTAAAATGTAGTTTTTTGCCAAAAGAGAAAGTATAACACTTATTAAAACACGACCGCATTTGGTAAGTGTAACACTATTTTTTTTTTTTTGAGGGAAAGCCGAGCTAATGCATTAATTAAAGGGACAAAGTGTCCGAGAGTACATAAGGGGAAATCACCGTCGGGCAATGATTAACCCAGACTTGTTCAGGTGCAAACGACATTAGCTTAGCAAGGTGATGGGCTACATAGTTGTCATCCCTTTTAACATGTGACCAAAGAAAAGACTTAAACAAACTACTTAAAGACAGAAGATCATCTAGAACACAATCAAAATAAAACACAAGAGCTTTCGAAAATCGGTTGATGAGGACCAAAGAATCAGACTCCAAAATTACATCTTCGTAGCCATACTGTTGTGCAAGTTTTACAGCCAAAAGAAGAGCTTTGCCTTCTGCAATCTCCAAGGGACACCATGCACGAATCCTTCTAACTGTGCCATTATGATCCCGAGCTACCACTCCCAAGCCATCCCACCCTTCGTCACTTAAAGAGGCATCAGAATTGAGCTTTACTTTCCCTGCAGGAGGTGCAACCCACTTGCTGCTGCTAGCCTTTGGTCTCCTAGGAGCTACTGCATATATCTTCTTGCTATACAACCCAAAATCCTCCACCAACCTGTGAACTCGTGCTAGCAGAATCTCATTTGGAGTGCAAGTACTAGCAAATACCTTATTGTTTCTCTTAGTGCAGATTACCCACGCAAGGAAGGCAGCTCTTTGCTTCACCTTTGCCCTAATTTGCCCCCACCGCACTAAAGTATCACACATACTCTCCCTTCTCTGTTGGATTGCAGCGCTGCAACCACTCTCAACCCATAATTCACACACCCGCACACATCCAAATAGAGCATGTGCAGTTAATTCTTCCTCTAAACCGCACCAAGGGCACTCAGCAAATTCAATCAAATGGCGAGACTGCAACACCTTCTTAGTTGGGAGAGTACTCGTGTAAGCACGCCAAAAGAAATGACGCACCTTTGGGGAAGCCTCTAATCCCCACAGCTCAGTCCAGGCTTAGTGAAACTAATCGAAATTACACCCCTTACCGAGCATATATGACGTTTTTGTTGAGTACAAACCATCATTAGAAAAAGCCAAGTAAGCTCATCCCTCGAAGCTCTCATACTTAGAGGCTTCTTATCCCTCTCATTGAAAATTGAAGAAATCAGCGCTTCGTCCCACTCCATCTTCGAAAAGTTCACAAATTCACTTACATGATTCAGCCCTTCCACTGCTGTGCTCGTAATGAACCTCCCTTCCTCATCGGCTACCCACGAGTTAAGCCAAATATTGACGTTAGTTCCATTGCCTATCCACCAAATTAGTCCCTCCTTCACAAGAGCCTTCGCACACTCCAGATACTTCTCCAAGAATAATTCCCCGAACTACCAAGATATGAATCAAGGAATGAAGAATTTGGGTAATATTTTGCTTTCATCACTCTCCCTACAAGAGAGTTCTCTCTATGAATGAGCCTCCAAGCTTGTTTGCTGAGAAGCGCATCATTAAAGACTTCCAAATCCTTAAACCCCATTCCCCCATAACATTTAGGAGTACACATCACCTCCCACGACTTCCAATGGATCTTACGGTGAGAATCCTTTTGACCCCAAAAAAAACCTTGCCATAGCCGACCAAATATTCAGTATCACCGAGCATGGAAATTTATACACCCCCATCAAGTAAGCCGGAATAGCCTGAATCACAGACTTTAGTAAGACCTCTTTTCCGGCTCTCGAAAGTAGTTTCTCCTTCTAACCCTGCAACTATTTCCAGATTTCGTCTAAAAGTGCACCAAAAATAGTCTTCTTCGATCTCCCTACTATCTACTATAGTAGGAATGCTCAAATATTTACCATGTGTAGACATCTACTTTTAGTCCCCTGTCCCGACCGAAAGTGCTATGACGATAAATAAAACCATCTTTGTGTTGGATCAACGAGAAAAATGCTTATGGACTGCTGATTAAGGCTTAAACACATAAAACAACTAGCTTGACCCTATACGAAATGAACCAAAGCTAACTAAAACTAAGCCCGATTAGTAATTAGGCCTAATCCCGAGATTAAACCTAACTTTGACGGGTTTAGAGGTGCCTAGGTTAAAATCTGAGGTTACCGCAGGAAAAACCGGGCGCAACTCAAGGAGCCACGCTGGCCTTGTGTGCGCAACCCGCAAGGTTGCGCGTGACGTCCAGCACAACCTTGTGCACTCGCAGAAGATTTTGAATTTTATAAAAATACTGAATCGAATCTTACCATAAAGCCACGCGCACGACAATTGGTTGCGCTGCCCTCAGCAGCGCAACTCAACCACTTGCGCGCAGCAGCTGCGCGTGACCTTTCGAGATGCGCGCACCACCTACTGCGTTAGAATGTTCAAAACCCTAAATTCACCCATTCCCTATAAATGGAGGTTCAATACGAAGCTTTGGACACACATAAATTAACCCGAAAGTCAGCAGAAACTTTGTGAACTTATGCACTAATCATTCCCCTTGTCCTAAACACTCACCCTTTTAATCGTTTGTTCTTACGGTGGAGGTTCCCGAACAAGAAGGAGTCCATAAGTGTTCTAAACGAAGATCTAGCAAGGAAAAGTGGTAAATTCTTGAGCACTTAGATAAATCACCTTTTTTTCTTGCTTAAAGAACTTTTAATCAACTAATTAGTGTTGTTTGGTCACTTTAAATAAACTTAATCAATTAATTCACATAGTATTCTTTCGTTAATCAGACTAGAATTTGAATAATTAATTGATTGTTTTATCACTTAGCCATGGCGAATCTTGTTTACCTTTTGTTCTTTCACGAATTTGAATAAATAAGAATAACGACATTTGCGATGTAATTCCTACGTGATTAATGTGTGTAAATAAAATCAACTAACTTAGTTTTAGGTATCACGTTGCATATATTGTTTGGTAATGAAATTCTGAAAAAGGAAGAGCTAGTAGAGGCCGCACTTGGGCTAGAATAGCGATTCCTCCTTAAGAGGAACGTTATTTTAGTACCCTCGCTCCCGAACTAATTTATGGTATAAGTAGACCAATTTGGGCATGGGTAAACTTATGATTCATGCTAAATATCCCTTAAACTCTACTTGGGAGAATGGCATGAACAAGATTTATGAGTTTTCCTAAAACTCATTGGCGACTCCTTATTAGTTTCTTACGAAAAAGCGTAATGATAGGATTAACTCTAATTCAAGGTCCCCCAAACAGTCAGGAATTCAAATCCTAACACACTTTAAAACTGTGTAAAGTCCTAGTCTGTAAAAGGCCATGGGCATAGTGGGGATGGATCCCCTACGACGGGCACACCCTCCTCACACCATGCCTGTCGACACGTAGCATATTTAGAACCCCTATCAACTCTTCTTGTTGTTCCATGCTTACCCCTCTGCTAAAGGACACAACCGACTTCTCATAGTTAATTTTCTGTCCGGATGCTACTTCATATTTGTTAAGTAAATCAACTATCACTTTGCATTCATGTCGAGTTGCTCTAGCAAAAAGTAAACTGTCATTTGCAAACAAGAGACGTGATATAGCAGGACCACTTCTACTTGCTTTCGCCCCATGTAATTCCTTCCTCTAAATCTTATTATGAATCATATGAGAGAAAGCATCAGCAACCAAAATGAACAAATAAGGGAATAAAGGATCCCCTTGCCTAAGGCCCCGAGTAGGGGACACATAACCACATACCCTGCCATTAATAATGAAAGAGTACTTGACCGAAGAAACACAATGCATGACCAGATTTACCCATCTACCATCAAACCCCATCGTGAGTAACAACTTTTTTAGAACACCCCATTCCACTCTATCATATGCTTTACTCATATCAAGCTTTAAAGCAATTGTACCCTTAGATTTTTACCCCGGCTTCCGTTTTTCATAGTTTTAAATAATTCCAGCGCTATAAGAGCATCATTAGTTATGAGTCTACCCGGAACAATGCACTCTGGTTTTCTATAACTACCTCTGGCAAAATAGACTTCAGTCTGAGTACAATGACTTTCGAAACTAACTTGTACAATACAATACACAAGCTAATGGGTCTAAAGTCTGACATAGAGGTGGGTGATTTAACTTTAGGAATCAAGGCTATATTAGTACTATTCACACGGTCAAGAGTAGTTATTCCATGTAAAATATTACTAACAAAATTATAGACATCATCACCTATAATATGCCAAAATTTCTGATAAAAAATTGCATGCATACCGTTCGGACCAGGGGCTTTACATGGATGCATTTGTTGCAGAGCTGAAAATACTTCCTCCTTCGAATAGGGACGGAGAAGGGCTGCATTTTTATCTTCCATTATCGACATTCTAACATGCTGAAGCACCTCATGTAAGCTGTTCGAACTCAGCTCTGACGATGTGAAGAGATCCGAATAAAATTTCCCAATAATGCCTTCGAACAAATCTTTATCTTCCTGCCACAACCCATCCACATCATAAAGTCCTTCAATACATTCTTTTTTTTCGTTGCGTCGCCTTATGATGATAGTAACTCGTATTTCTATCTCCATCGCGTACTTCTAAGACTCGGGACCTCAAGAACCAATAGGCTTCATGTTCTTGATGTAGATCGTCAGAATATACTCTAATTTCGCACATTTCTCGCAACTCTCAACAGTAATACGTTCTTGCTGAGCTGATTTATATTCATTTTCTGCCAATTCAATCTGCTTGCCCAGGTTGTCGTACTTTTCTTTGCTCCACACCACCAAGCTCTTTCCAGTAGCAGAGAGTTTACCAAGCATATCTTGTTCACTGGCCGAAACCCAAGCCTTCTTAACGACCTCTTCACACAAATAATCCAACAACCAAGCAGTCTCGAATTTGAAGCTTTTTGTTCTTTTCCTCCTCTTCCTTGCCTTAGCAATTAGGCGACGTACAATTGGCACATGGTGTAATACCCCATATTATTATACATATTTTAATTTAAATTATTATTTTATGAAGCACTTAAATAATTTGAAATGAATTATTTATGGTGTTTTATTAATTGATTATTATATTGAAGGTCCATTTTTATTTATTTAATTACCTTGAAAATATTTTATTTTATTATTTAGAAACTTTGGGGCATATTATTTTATAAAAGTAAATTTAAAGTCAATGGTATTTAAAGAAAGCCAAAATGACTAGTTTGATTAGGAGAAGGAATCATTAAGGGTAGAAGTGGAAATTTAAACTAAAAGGGTTTTGAAAGGGGGTATAGATAGGGGTGGGACTTTTCAAACCGAACCGTGAAACCGGCCGTTACCGAACCGAACCATCACGGACCGATCCGTTTATAAACCGATAAATTTAAACCGAAAACCGAACTGAACCGTTCAATATCAAACCGAAACCGAATCGAATCGCTCAATGTCAACCCGTTACAGACCGTAAACCGATAACAAACCAAACTGCTCAAATCCGAACCGAAACAAAACCGAACCGAATGGTTTATAAACCCGTTAATGACCCGAACCGTTTATAAACCGAAACCGTTTAAACCGTAAAAAAAAACCGTTTAAACCGAACCATTTGTAACCCGCTAACCGTTTAAACCGACCCGTTTATGAACCGAAACCGTTTAAACCGCTGGAAAAACTATATAAACCGAACCGTTATAATCCGCTAACCGTCTAAACTGAACTGCCATAACCCGTTAAACCGTTAAAATCGAACTGTTTTCGAATCGCAACCTGTTTAAACTGATCCGATTACAAACTGCTTAATTCAAATTGAATTATTTACAACCTAAATGGCTAAATAGTAAATACAATTAATGTTAATAAATGTAGATCTAATCAAACGGCTTAGGTTTATACAAAGGTTTATATCACCTAGATCTAGTCCAACGGCATTATTAATATCTTTTTAGATTACTTATTTATTTTAATTACAAGATATATCATTTGTACCATTTTCATTCCAGTAATAATGCTAGTCCACCCAAATTATCTTCATTGTTCCTTCATAAAGATATTCATGATCATCCAATAACACTCAAAGGCAACATAAGATTGGAGATGTATGAGATTGCGTTACAAAAGTGGCATAAGCATTAGAATATTACTGTACTAGTCAATAAGGCGTACAAATGTACAATCATTCACATTATCACTTTATAAAACTTTCTTATACAAGTATTTTGTAAAGGGGGAGGACTAAAATGTTTATAAAACTGCATGAGAATAACTATATGTCTAGATTTGAAATTTATGGTAGAAGAAAATGGGAAACTTTCCCTTCCTTTACATGATCAAAAATTTTACACCCCTAACAGACGGTAAAAGGAAAGCTAACATACTAGAATACTAGTATACTACTATATCCTAAAAACAAAAGGCAGCAGAATCTTGAAGCAGCAGCACAACACCCAAGAGCAGAGGAAATAGCAGCAACAAGCAGGAACCAGCTTACGCAATAACAGATCAACAACTTATCAGAAGCAAGGAACAATAAGCAGAAGGGACTCAGCAGGAACTTATTTTTGTTTTTCAAAATTGCTCTCAGATTTACGTTTATCGTATCATCACTGAGCAATGGCTGTTTTAACTTAAAACTTGAAAAATGCTGCCAGCAAGTACATATACATTGAAGTCTCAACATAAATGACAAGGGCAACAATGATTCAAGAAAAATTAAAACAGCAAGCATAAGAAACAGCAGCAACAAAACAGCAGCAAGCATAAGAAACAGCAGCAACAAAACAGCAGCAGCAACAACTCAGCAGAGACATCAACCAAAAGGCAAAAGCACTACCAGTAGGCAGCAGCTCATAACAAGTTCAAGCAACTTCAAAATTATAGCTTTTGTTTTTTAAAATTGCTCTCAGATTTACATCACTGAGCAATGGTTGTTTTAACAAAAACTTGAGAAATGCTGCCAGCAAGTACCAAAATACATTTAACTATTTAAGTCTCAACATAAATGACAAGGGCAACGATTTTAAAAGTCGTGAAAAATGCTGCCAGCAAGTCTGAAAATAAATGACAAGGGCAACGATTTTAAAAGTCTTGAAAAATGCTGCCAGCAAGTCTAAAAATAAAAGACAAGGGCAACGATTTTTCAAGATAAAATAAACCACAATGAGACACAAATACCAGTTATGCAGATGAAGCACTTTCGGCTTCAATCTCTTTACCAATAAGGAGGACGTCTTCCTCAACATCCGCTTGATAACCACGGCACCAATTTTGGGTGGTAACCAATGACTCAACATTCTTTGGCAAAAGTTTACCCCTATATTTGTTCAAAATACGACCACCCAAACTAAAAGAAGATTCAGAGGCCACCGATGTAATAGGAATGGCCAAAACATCCCTTGCCATATTAGCTAAAATAGGAAGAGAAGAAGCTTGAGATTCCCAATACTTGAGAACATCAAAATGTTCCCCTTGTATTAATCGCGAACGAGGTCCATTCAAATATGCCTCAAGATCAGCCAGAGGGCATCTAGTTGAATCATCACATTCGTCATCAACCTCACGCAACTGAAACAGATTTTTTATTATAAAAGTTAAATTATGACATTACAAATAAAAATAGAAGACTACCATTAATATTGAGTATATTGTATAACATAAATACCGTGAAAATATTTTGAGATCTCAACGTGCGATTAGAATTTTCAGATTGAGCTGTCTCATTGCAAGCAAGATGCATGTTGCATACATGAAAATGCAGTACATTATTGGTTCTAGATACCTGTAGCTTATAACTGCTATTGACTCTCTACAAGAAAACAGAAAAAAGAAAGGTCTCAATCACTTTGGGACCTTAGACAATCAAATGAATTTGACACCACAGACAAGCAAATAAGAGAGGCAAACAATGGCTTTAGCTAGTTCTCATAGAAGATATAAAGCAAAGGAAATATGCAATCTCTATGAAGATTTATAAGAAGTAAACTCAAACATAGACTAGAACAACAACAACAATAATCAAATACAAAAACAGAAAAACTGTATTAAAAAAAAACGAAAAGGAAAAAGTAATTACCTTTGAGTAGTCTTTGACGGCTTGAAGGAGATTTGAAGATGGAGAACTGCCTGAACTGGAGATCAAAAGAAAAAATCAAGAACTTGAAGTAAAAAAAAAAAACCGAAACGAAAACGAAAAAAATCGAAAAAATTAACAACAAAATTACCTTGAGGTTTGACGGCTTGAAGGAGAGGAAGAATTGAAAAAAAAAAACGAGAATGGAAAAGTCAGAAATAAGAAGTTTAGATCCAAAACAAAAATGAAACGAAAATAAAAACCCTAAATAAAAAAAAGTATAAAACCGAAACGAAAACGAAAAAAATCAAAACGAAAACAACAAAAATTAACAAAAAATTACCTTGAGGTTTGACGGCTTGAAGGAGAGGAAGACAAAAACAAAAAAACGACAATGAAAAAGTCAGAAATTAGAACTTAGATCCAAAACAAAAATGAAACGAAACAAAAACCCTAAATAAACAAACCGAAACAAAAACGAAAAAAATCAAAACGAAAACAAAAAAAATTAACAAAAAATTACCTTGAATTTTGAACTTTTGACGGCTTGAAGCCTTCAAATTGAAGGAGAGGAAGATTTGAAAAAACAAAAAAACGAGAATGTAAAGCGAGAAATCAGAAATGTAGATCCAAAACACAAATGAAACGAAAACAAAAACCCTAATTAGGATTTTTAAAAGTTGAGAAGTTGAGCTTGAGATTCTTGAGAATTTCAGAACGAGTGAGTGAGATGAGAACTGAGAAACTGAGAAGTTAGAGAGATAAACTGAGAGTGAGTAA